TAGAGAACTTGTCAAGATCATCCTGGAAGTGTGCTTGACTTTATGGATAAGGCACATGCATTTAAAAATGTGCAAATTTTGAAATTATGTATATTATACTTTTATTGTCCTCTAAATAATATAATTAGCAATGATAATTTTTTTAAAAATCAAACTAACATTTAAATATTCTATAATCATTGACAATAATGTTGAAAATTACTTCATTTTTCCCATGACAGAATTATTAAACCATAGATTTGTAAAATAAGGGAAAAAATAACTTGAATCTATGCATAAGGAACAGTGAATATTACTATTCAATGAATGTCATATAATTTTTGATAAACTTGATATTATTATCATGCTGCTATTTTTAAATACAGATTCATGATTTTTTCTTTTCAGATATTTACGCCATCTGTTTATAATAAGGGCCAATATATGAACTAGATGGAGAGCCAGAGCAATGTCTCAGAATTCATTCTTCTGGGTCTCTCTAGTGACCAGAACGTACAAACATCTTGCTTTGTGCTCTTCTTACTCTGTTATGTTGCCCTGTTGGTAGGAAACCTTCTGATTCTCATCTCCATTTGGTGCAGTCCTCTTTTTCACCAACCAATGTACTATTTCCTCAGCCACTTATCCTCCATGGATATCTGCTATACCTCCAGCGTTACGCCCAAATTAATTGGTGATTTGCTGGTGGGAAGGAAAACCATTTCCTATGGTAACTGCATGTTACAGGTCTTTTGCATGCACTTCTTTGGAATAATTGAAGTCTTAATTCTTACAGTCATGGCCTTTGATCGCTACGTTGCCATCTGCAGGCCTCTCCACTACATGATCATCATCAACAGGATGAGGTGCAATCTTCTAGTCTCAGCTGCTTGGGCTGGTGGGGCTGTTCACTCCTTTCCTCAAGTTTCTATGATAATCCAGTTGCCCTTCTGTGGTCCTAATGAAATAGATCACTATTTTTGTGATATTTTTCCTTTGCTAAAAGTTGCTTGTACTGATACCTCCATCCCTGGTGACATTATGCTTGTCAGTTCAGGAATGGTGGCCTTAGTGACATTTGTGGTTTTATTTTGTTCTTATGTCATTATATTATTCACTTTAAGAAATCACTCAGCTGAAGGAAGGCGCAAAGCCCTCTCTACCTGTGGGTCTCACATCACTGTGGTCGTCTTATTTTTTGCACCTTCAATCTTTATCTACCTTAGACCTCCTACTACTTACCCTGAGGATAAGGTATTCGCACTGTTTTACACCATCATTGCACCTATGTTCAATCCCTTAATCTATACATTGAGAAATACAGAGATGAAAAAAGCCATAAGAAAAGTTTGGTTTCAAGCATCTTTATAAAAAAAGAAAGGGTGGGGGCAGCTAAATGTGGAATCAGAGAGCTAGACTGTATCTCACAGATTAATTGTTCCCTTGTTATCATTTCATAAATGACAGACATAAGGACTTAGTAACTATGAATGAAATACTTATTCAACCATACAGAGAATAAGCTTGACATTTAGTTAAATCTGTGGGGTTTTCAGATAGGTATTTAGAAATAAGTTACATGACAAAAAGTTTGTGTAACAGAATTTGATTTAAATTAATTCTTTGATGTTAACTCCCTTGACTTCCTATCAGAGGGAAAAAATGAAAATATAGAATGAAATCAGTTACTCAAAGATTGAAAACATATTCACTTCCCTTCTGCCCAGAGGTCAGAACTGTTTTTTAATTAGTAAAGGAACTGAACCATAAAATGCAATAAATTAGTAGGAAAATCACAAGTTATTGGATTCAGAACCTTTCCTGTCATATGAGAAAAACACAAACAAAAAAGAAATAAGGGATCAAACAAACTACAATAAAAAAATACTGTGACACAAGTCTTGGAAATGAGTGGCAATAGTGAATTATCTATGTGACTGTCATGGAGAGGAGACATCTGAGAAACCTGAAAATTATTTTATAAAATGTATTTAGTTGAATCTATAGTAGGATGCAAAATAAAAACAATCTATTAGAAAACACAGCAAACACCATAAGACAAAAGAAAATGGGGAATGGGATCATATGAACAGGGTGAGTGAAACACACAAACACTTCTAGCTATGTAAATGCAATACACAAATTAAAACCGTTAAAAAAGTAATTTACACAGAGGATAAGGAGAGGAAGATTAATGAGGGAGATCTAATTAAATAGAATTTTCATAGCAGAGAGTAATTAGACAAGTTGCTATTTTGGCAGGCTACTCATGAAACAAAAATATTGCCAGATTGTAAATTCTCTTCTGAAGAAAACATCACAGGCCATTTGGCAAAGTTTAAATGGTTGAGGGGAAGCTTTTGAAAATGTCAAGTTTTATTACCAAGTTGTTTTTCATCATTTAAGAAAGAAAAATAAAACCTTCTGATTTAAATGGGCACATGGATTGAAGAACCCATGTGTCTTTCCTAAAAAAAAAAAAAAAAAAAAAGGAAGAAGAGATGAATCAAAGGAAAGGAATCAAGATGGGGCCAGTTGGTGTTAAAAGGGATTGATGCTTTATGCTTCCATCATCAAAGAAAAAGAGTCATGTGTTTCAGAGTAACTAGGAGTTCCATCTTTACCCTTTATCTAATGTTTTATTTTTACCAAATTTGCTCAGTTTAACTTTCTATGGTCCTAATAAGATAGTTCACTACTTATGAGGTATGAAGCCTTTTTTGAACCTACGTGCAAAGATATTTATGTTGTTAATATTTTAGTGATTGCTAATTCTAGGGATGGTGACGGTTGTCATTATTCTTGTCCTAGAAGTTTCTTAAACTCATATTATATAATCTTAGAACACCGTCCTCTATAGGAGGACACAGAGTTCTCTCAATTTGTAGCACACATACACACCCTACACTTACAGGATGCTATGTGATAATTGTGCCAATAGAACTGAATGAACAACAGTTCAAGAAAATTAAATGGCACATTCAGAACTTAAGTAAATAAAATGATATTTTTGTACTTTCAATCCTGTGTCGCCAGGGCATTTATCATTTGAGGTGTTAGAAAAAGCATATACGCTTTCTCTGGGGAGTTGGACCAAATAACTTCTGGCGTTGTATGAGCCAAAGATGCAAGTTAGTGTGATTCAGATTGCCGCCTGCACTGTAGTGTCCGACTAGTTCCAGGTGTGATCTCTTGGATTCAAGAAATTTAAGAAATGCTCTCCTAAAGCACACTGCTGATTATATCAATTCCCCCACCCCCGCCAATAAATTTGTATGGAATACTGTTTACCTTGTGATGAAATCCATTCTTCTTGTTTGTCCGAAATATTTGTCCCAATATTGGTCCAAGTCTAATTTGCTAACGTCAGAAGTCACTACATGGGAAGACAGTATGGTGTTACAGTGATAAGGCTTTGGGGTCAGGGAGATCTGGGTGACGACTACCTCTGCAAGATTTATCTCCTGGTTTTGGCAATTTGCTTTACTTACAGGTCTCCGCTTAAAAAATATCCATGAAATGGTTTAATATTACAGTTTATGAAGATGCAATACTACTTCGGCTAATACGTGTGAATTTTTAGCACGGCGTGTGGCCACCAGCATTTCTCATTAGGTGCTTTTCCTCTTTCCCTCTCTCTTTCCCTTTACTTGCCTTCGCTAGATGCTTTCGTCCAGCTACACTGGACCCCCGACATTCTCTAAATACATTCTAAAATCTTTCACCTCAGTGAGTGTTTTTTCTTTTGTCTTTGCTTAGGATCCCCCACCCCGTTTGCCGTAGGGTCCACATCTTACATATAATTCACACTTCAGGGATTATCTTGTTCAGGAAGATTTTGCAGATCCATCAGCAGAGTAGAAGTATGTCTGACTCCTTCCTTGTTCCTTCTTTGCCATTCAGCTGTGCATTTAATCTTCTTCAAATAACCTGACGCCTTATATTAGTGTTTTTTCTTATGAACTGAGTTTTTTTTCTAATATGATTGTGACAGGCGATTATGTGCCATGTCTTTATTTTCTTTTTCTCTCTTATTTTTCTAGCAATAAATTTGGCACAAGTTAAGATACTGAATTAAATACAAAGATTCTATTGTTTCTCTTTCTTTGACTGCATACCTTGTTCTCACATATCTAGAACTCTTCCTTATGTCATTAACAGTCATGCATTAATAATAATAAAAAGGAATGTCAGAATGGCTAAAAATATAAAATATTCTCATGTTCCATTCATGGAATGAACGGAATTCAGCAGGCTCTCAACCCCCCTATGTCTTTACTTACTTATTTAATGCATTAAGGAGGCACTACTATTTTTTTAACCCAATTTTAGCGTTTCAGTTCATTTGTTTATTTATTTTTTTATTGAAGTATAGTCAGTTACAATCTGTCCATTTCTGGTGTACAACACAATGTCCCAGTCATGCATATACATACATATATTCATTTTAATATTCCTTTTCATTAAAGGTTATTACAGAATATTGAACATAGTTTCCTGTGCTATACAGAAGAAACTTTTTCATCTATTTTTATACAAAATGGCTAACATTTGCAAATCTCAAACTCCCAAATTTATCCCTTCCCACCCCCGTTTCCCTGTTAACCACAAGATTGTTTAATGTCTGTGAGTCTGTCTCTGTTTTGTAGAAGAGTTCATAGTGTCCTTTGTTTTTTCTTTCTCTCTCTTTCTCTCTTTCTCTCTCTCTTTCTTTCTTTTTTCTTTCTTTCTTTCTATTTAGATTCCACATAGGAGTAACATCATATGGTATTTTCCTTTCTCTTTCTGGCTCACTTCACTCAGAACAGAGGTGACACTACTATTCTGAGT